CTGACCGCCGACACCGACTGGAGCCCTAAAATGGTGGTCATCGGTGACATGGGCTTTGAAAACGCCGTGTCCTTTGGTGCAATTAAATCAGAAGTAGCTACCGGAGAGGTGGATGTGCTCATGCACAATGGTGATTTGGCGTACAATCTTGCCTCGGTTAGTTTTAGTGCTTGCAAATGAGTACCTTCTCACCGATTCACACAGGGCTACTCCTCAGTGGGCGACGCGTTCATGCGCATGATGCAGCCAGTTGTGGCGAATTTTCCCTACCAAACGAGCTGTGGCAATCACGAATGGATGGACACTCTGTTTTCAAGTGACAGGTAAGTGGCGTCTGCTTGATGACCACTCTATTATACATGAGCCTCTACTATGAATGCTAATGTTTGCCGTGGCGTTCGCAGTGACTTCAGCAACTATGTAAATCGCTTCTCGATGTACGATATGAGCACTGTGGCGAAGGGCAGTCAGAGCAATCACTTCTATGCCTTCCACCTCGGCGCCGCTCTCATTGTCGTCTTCAACACTGAGTTCTACATCTACAAGAGCTTCTACTCGAAGGAATTCGCAAGACAAGAACAATGGCTCAAGTCAGTGCTGGCCAAGGGAAACACTGCAGAGAGTCGCAAATCGCATCCGTGGATCATTGTCTTTGCTCACCGACCACTCTACTGCTCGTCGTTGTCTGTCGTCGACTGTGCCCTGTACAACACTTTCTATGTGAGTGATGGGTTTATTTTGAGGGGGAGGAAGAATGAAAGAAGATAAATGAATCTTCTCTCTCTTCCAGTTGACATTTGAAGATTTGCTGTACCAGAGCGGAGTCGATCTGGCCGTCTGGGCACACGTCCACAACTACGAGCGTACACTTCCAGTGTACAAGAGCACTGTGAAGAATGGCTCTGCTGCTCATCCATACACAGATCCCAGAGCGACTGTTCACATTGTCAACGGAGCAGGGGTACGCATTCTGTCGCTTGATGACTTTATCATTATTTGTATTATTCACGCTAAATGCTCCTCTTCATATCATACAGGGCTCCACTGAAAATCTGGACAGCTTTGTGAGTTTTCACATTCCAAAGTGGAGTGCAGTGCGCCAACGCAGATTTGGCTTCGGTATTATTGAAGTCGTCAATTCCACTCATCTCATTTATCAGCAAAAGGATGAAAAGGTACTGAATGGTCAATGAATGCGCAGTGAATTTGATTTTTTCTTCTCCTTTTCAGAACAAAATTATCGACACGGTGACGATCATTCAGAATCATCATGGACCTTTTGGCAATTAGAGACAGCAGTTTTTGTTTACTTTTTGTTTGTACGCCAATAAATGCTAATAAATGTTACTGAAAAGGGCAATGAAAGGGCTTACTTTACATGTTGCTGGGCAGTCATTTTACTGCAGAGCATCATTTGACATTTGATTTGAAGCCGGCGAGAGGGCGACGACAAGCATATTGGCCATTTGAAGGACGTCTGGTTGCCTGGCTGCCCGGTTAATGACGGTGCTGTTCTGTCAGTCTGTCTGCACTTGTTGTTGTTGCTGCTGCTTCCTGTGATTTTGTGTTCTGTGAGTCAACTGAAGCGTGTTTCCAGACGAGAAGACGAGAGTTGAACAGAAACTGTGTTTGCGCCTGTTGTGTCGGTACTTTGGCTGGCAAAGTTACATCATCATGGATCCCCTGCTAGTACATCATCCATTCTGGGGATTCGGCATTTGGCAGCAGATCTTGCCATGCTGTCTGCTCAGCGCCGCTCTCCTGGCCATGGCCTTCGTCACTGTTTGGTACCAGAGAAGTCGTCGCCCGGCTCCACAGCCCGAAATCTCCGAAGAGGTAAGCAATCGCCTTCTTTGTGATGCTAAGCTCACCCTAATCCCTACCCTTTTCCAGGAAAAGGATCAACTCATTGAGGACTGGACGCCGGAGCCGCTGACGCCGCCACTCGATCCGTACCACCATGCTCTACGACCTCGGCAGGTGACCTCAATCTACGGCAAGCGGATTACCGTCGACAAAGTGGCTTGTCTCAACTTTGCTACACACAACTACCTCGGTTTCGTTGAGGATCAAGAATGTCTGAATGCGGCGACTTCTGCACTGGAAACGTATGGCGTCGGCAGCTGTGGTCCGAGAGGATTCTTCGGCACGGTGGACGTTCATTTGCAGTTGGAGGAGAAGATTGCCGCCTTCATGGGAACTGAGGAAGCAATCCTCTATTCTTTTGGCTTTTCAGCCATCTCCAGCTCCATTCCGGCTTACGCTAAAGTCGGCGATGTCATCTATGCGTAAGTTATCTTCATCAGTCGGTTTTACATTTCAGAATTGCTAATCAGATTTGTTGCTCAGTGATGAAGGCGTCAACTTTGCCGTTCAACAAGGCTTGAAAGCTTCGCGTTCAACAATTCACTACTTTAAGCACAACGACGTTGAAGATTTGGCCCGTCTAATTAACGAGCAGGCACTTGATGATGAAAAAGTATGTCGTTCAAGTATTTCCCTTGTACTTCTTAATCAAAAACTTCTTTTTGTCGCAATTAGAACCCAAAGTTAGCCAAAACTCGCTGCAGTTTCATTGTCGTCGAAGGCCTGTACATCAACTATGGTGACATTTGCCCGCTACCTGAGATTGTAAGTCGGTGTTGCCAAAAAAGTGCATAGAGTAACAAGTTCTTTGTTTGAGGACAGGTCAACCTGAAACACAAACACAAGATGCGCCTCTTCATTGATGACAGCTGCGCTTTTGGCGTTCTTGGCGCAAGTGGCCGCGGCGTGGTCGAGCACTACGACCTGGACGTGTCAATGGACGTGGACATGATCGCTGCCAGTCTCGAGTATGGCATCGCCGCCTATGGTGGCTTCTGCACCGGCAGTTACTACATCATCGATCACCAGCGACTCTCTGGCCTCGGTTACTGCTTCTCTGCCTCATTGCCACCGCTTCAAGCTGCGGTTGCCCTGAAGTCAATCGACCTCATTCTCCGGGAGCCAGAGCGGGTGCTCCTAGTTCGAGAACGCAGCACAGTGATGCACAGCCTGTTGACTACATCGTCTCGTTCTAAGTATTTCACTGTATACGGCNTTCTCCGGGAGCCAGAGCGGGTGCTCCTAGTTCGAGAACGCAGCACAGTGATGCACAGCCTGTTGACTACATCGTCTCGTTCTAAGTATTTCACTGTATACGGCTCTGCGGTTTCCCCCATCAAGCACCTTCGATTTGCTGTGCCCATTGAGCAGGCAATGAAGAGTCGACAGGAGCCATCTGCCCGGCTGAAGAGAGCTAATAAAAGCTTTTACAGCTTCAAGGAACGCACTTGCAGTGTGCTGGACACTTACCGTCTAGAAGCTGTCGTCAATTACGTATGTTTTCATTTGGTTTTAATGACTTTACCAAGTAATTGATTTCCTCTTTCTCTAGGCACAGAAAAACGGGCTGGCTCTTACCGTTTCTCGATATCTGGAAGAAGAAGAGCACCGTACGCCCGAGCCGAGCATTCGCCTAACAGTGTGCACCTTGTTTACCGAAAGTGAACTAGAAGAANGAAGAAGAGGAGCACCGTACGCCCGAGCCGAGCATTCGCCTAACAGTGTGCACCTCGTTTACCGAAAGTGAACTAGAAGAAGCGGCCGATCTAATAGTGGAAGCATTCCAAGAAGTGCATCAACAATTTCAAGCTGGTCACATCTGACCGTACAAAGTGGGCTATCTTGAGTATAGCAGTTGCGGCTGATAACTTGTGTACTACTTTCAATAATAAAAACCCAATTACTCTTTGAAAAACTTACTGTTACGTTTCCCCATCTGTCGTTCACATTTGGGTCTGTTTGCAGGCTGTAGCAGTGCGCTCTCAAAGAGGACGCAGTTCAAGTTTGGGCCTGTTTGCGTATGACCTTATCTGAAGTAGAGTTCACATTCGGGTCCGCTGGGATTGCTTGGCGGACAATTTGCACATTTGCTGTCATACTCAGCGTTGCCTGGGATGACCCATCAGTGAACTTTCGAGAGTCGGTGCAAATGGTGGTGGCAAGTGCAGTTATCAGAAAGGACAGTCTTATGTGTGATAAGGGGTACAGCACATGGCACTGCTGACATTGCACCGAGATGACTCCTTCGGCCATCCCAGTCAGTGTCAGACTGCCTTGCACGCTGACGAATTGTGTGGACAGAAAGTGCTTCGGTGCTTGTCTT